CTGATGGCTCAGAGCCTGGAGCCTGTTTCCGATTCTGTGTCTCCCTCTCTCTCTGCCCCTCCCCCGTTCATGCTCTGTCTCTCTCTGTCCCAAAAAAAATAAATAAAAAAACGTTGAAAAAAAAAATTTAAAATGCATGTTATAACAACTATCTCATAAAGAGTTTGGAAGATCAGGGGCACCTGGGTGGCTCAATCAGTTAAGCATCTGACTTCGGCTCAGGTCATGATCTAACGGTTCGTGAGTTCGAGCCCCGTGCCTGGCTCTGTGCTGACAGCTCAGAGCCTGGAGTCTGCTTCAGATTCTGTGTCTCCCTCTGTCTGCCCCTCCGCCGCTTGCACTCTGTCTCTCACATTGTCTCAAAAATAAATAAACGTTAAAAAATAATCTTAAAAAAAAAAGAGTTTGGCAGATCAAGTGGTATAAGGTAGACACAATATCTTTAATCATTATCACAACACCATTAAGGCAAATGAAATTTGTACTTTACAGAGGAGAAAACAGGTTTCAAGAATCTGAGTGATTCACCCAAGGCCACACAGGAAGTAATCAGAGAAGTGAGCAGTTAATCCTAGATGGTTCCAAACACTTAGAGGTACGTTTTCCTCCATGGCACAGAGAAATCCCATCTGCCCTGTTGCCCTCTCTTTTGGGCTCTCACACATGGAAAGGCTTTTTCCAGTAATTGCTCTTCTCTCCCCACTGATCTCAGGGCTTTCTCTACTCCCAGCTACGTGGAATTAACCAAGTCAGCCAAATGTGGTAGGTACTTGGCTCGCTGGCAATAAAAAGGTCACCAAAGCACCTGCAAGTCAGCAAAGGAGATAGGATTTGGAAAGCATGTGATGGCAGGCGGCACATTACTGGCCCACCGCCTGACGGGAAAGACTGGAGTATAGAGGACTGTGGTAAGGAGCCGTGTAAGTCTATGTTTTGAAATTTCATTCTTCCTGCCATTACTGACCCCAAATAATGAGGCTTCTTACGTATGCAGATTCCGTTTTCACCCTTGGAGTTTAAGTCCCAGTAGGGGAGTCACAGAGGGCTGGGTGTGGCCCAGTGCCAAGGGTTAAGCTTAACAGAAGACACAGAGGTCTGATTTCCAACCATCGGTGCCTTTAAGAGGCCAGGGCCAGATGAAAGACAGTGACTTTCAGGAAGATGATAAGAAGCTGCCCATCATTTAAAAAATTTTTGTTGGGGCGCCTGGGTGGCGCAGTCGGTTAAGCGTCCGACTTCAGCCAGGTCACGATCTTGCGGTCCGTGAGTTCAAGCCCCGCGTCAGGCTCTGGGCTGATGGCTCAGAGCCTGGAGCCTGTTTCCGATTCTCTGTCTCCCTCTCTCTCTGACCCTCCCCCGTTCATGCTCTGTCTCTCCCTGTCCCAAAAATAAATAAACGTTGAAAAAAAAAATTTTAATAAAAAAAAAAAAT